TTAGCTTGTCAAGCTACATTATCGAGATACACCGCTAGGAATAATATAGCTAAAATAATTTCGTGTCGTGAGCGCGCACAGATATCGCAGTTTCTTCGGAATCTCCTCAGGCAATTCTACGAGCGCGTCTGTGTCACAATTTCCGGCAATAAAAGGGAAAATATAATACGAAGCTCGGTTCAGCGGATAAGCATCGAAAGTCTCGACGTCTTCGCTGCCGCGTGCAAGTAAAATTTGAATATCAGTTACGGGGTGGAAGGTCAGCTTGAGATTTGCGAGAATAAGAAGTGGAGGGGGACACCGAATAAAAAAGAAAGACACGGTAAGATAGAGAGATAGAGAGAAAGAACAAGCTTCGCTTGATTCCGGCCCGACGGAAAGCCGGAAGTGTGCGATGTAACGACGCTATAGTACCTTAGGTTACTCCGTAGCGAAGCCGAAGATATAATAAATTACAAAAGAGGAAATTAACCATCCTGAAAATGAAACAAGCAGGCACAAGTTCCGGCAATCTCCTTCTCTTTCTCTCTCCCTCTCGCTCGCGATCCTCAAGTTCAACTTTCTCGAAGCACCGGTATACGAATACACACACGTTTTTATCCGCCTCCTACTCTATCTTTCATCTTGGCCTTGTGTAATCTCGAACGTTAAACCTATTTTACGTAGAAGCTGCCGATATGACGGCGAACAAACGCGCGGTTATTTGCATTTGCTTACCGATATATGTATGTAAATTTAGTTTGCGATTATGAAACTCGGTCGACTTTACGTTCCACATGCGCTCGCTGCTCATCCAACAAATGTCGCGGAAAAGTAAAAGTGAAAATAAATATGCCGTGGATACTTTCATGCAGGAAAACACGATACGATATACCAGGAAGTGCCGCATGACGAATGGGGCTCGGGCAAAAATACTATACGGTCATTCAAATGTCGTTCGGAATTCGCGCGCTCGATTTGTTGCCCGTGACAAAGTCGTAAGTTAGATATTCTCGCTTCCGACCGATATGACAACTGTCTCGCTTATTTCCCGGTCTACCGGCAGCGACGAGTCAGCATTTTCGGTTGTGATCGATCGGGCAGCCCCTTCAATTACTTAGCAGGCGAAACAGCCAAGTTGTGTGCTTGGAAAACGGCCAAGGGGTCAAAACGCAACAAGCTTGCCCGATCATTTAGAAGATTCGAGCCAGCCGTTCAGCTCCGTGTTTATTCTGGACCAGAAAGCGATAAATAAATTGGACGCAAGAGAGAGAAAGCCTTTTACAGCGCATCTTACAAATGTGACAAAAGAAGCTAAGATATTGCTCGACGACAATCCAATTCGATCACTTGGAGTAAGCGCGCGAGAGACTGTTGGATATAGGGATTAGAATTTGGGAAACACGGCGGCGAGTGGTGGATCTTTGAAAGTTTGGGACCTACAGTGGAAAGCACTTAAAGGCATATGAAATCGGCGCGACTCGTCGGGCAAGCGAGACACGTCCGTGAGAAGCGCCCGAGACGGGCCGAGGAAACAGGAGACTCAATATAAGAGGCGGAAGGAGAGTCAAGGGAGGATGAGGCGAAATGTGCGAAACGTGAAAGACAACTGTGCCGACCGCCCTGTTATTTCCGGCAAGGCACGGGTCTTAGAGCGTGTTGTTAGAGAAAATCTCGCCGAGAGAGCGTTTCGCGTCAGCTGGTCTTTTTACTTTCCACTTCTCGAGGCTCCACGCTCGTCTGCACTTTGTTGCTCATCGTGCGAGGGTTCGACGACGCCGCGTCAGTTACCGGAATCCTCGGCAAGCGAGCGCGTACACGGGAACACCTGTTCTCGATTAGAGAATTTGTCTCGAAGCGCGCGAACGCTTGTTCTGCTGTCCGGAGCAGTGAACCCTTAATGATAATTAATGAGATCTCGGAGAGTAAAAGGGCTGGCCGTCCGCGGTATCATTTATTACGAAATGAACGGTTCGATGAACAGTTCCAGGTGCAAGGGGTTTACATTCGACCAAGACACGCTTCCTTCGCGGAGCAAAAAGAAATCGTTATAAAGCGGCGGAAAATGTTAAAGCAGCAGTAATTGCCACTTTAATTTCCGCAGACGGTGTTTCATTAATATTAATATAACGCGCCGAGACGCTCATACATATACGCATACATATTTCCTGAGATGGAACGAAGAAGAAATTGTGCGGTAGATGAAGCGAGGAAGGACGGCGATCGTAAAAACGTAAGGACGTCGAATTAACCGGGCGGGCGCATGCTCGGCTCGACGAAAATCATTAATTAAGCGGGAGCTAAATGCATGAGGAACAAGCCCCCTGTCATAACTTCCGCGCGACCTCGTAAATTACCAAGGTTTCTCCTATGGCTTCTTTTGCTCGCGCGCCGAATCAACGGTGTTGCGACGCGATGTTCCGCAACGTTCTCTCAAGGCGCGAAAGCCCGATTCGAGGCAAAGCGAGCGTGGACCGAACGCGTATTCGTCAACGAGTGAATTTCAACGAGGAGCGGAAGGATCGTTGACCCGGGATTGTGGGAACGGAATCGCCCCGCGGAAAGATTTATCGATTGCGGATTTATTCTCCGTCGCGGGTCACCCGGCGTACTCCGACGGTGAACGAAATCGTAACTACCGTTTCATTAGCCGCGCTGAAAATACAATCTAAACGATCTTAATGATTTTCGATGACCCCGTTCGCGGTCGCGAGCGAAGGTAGAATTTCTTCCCCTAAGCAAAGGTCGGGAATTATAATTTCGTCGAAATAGCGGTATGACTTCGGAATGAGATCTAGGTACTGATTCGCCTTCTATCTCTCCATCGATCCAGATGACACTGTTTCTGCGGGGGCTTCAAGTCGGAGAGGTCCGAGAGGTCCGAGACCGTCGCGAAACTTGGACGGTGATGCTTTTAGCCTGTCCCATCGGACGAGTTATATTCAGTTTCGCTCCGATAGCGTGCATACAGAAGTATCTCGACGTGCGAGAGAACGGAAAGGCAGTAACAAGAATATCCCTCCGGTCGGTCGATAATTTGCCGCCGGCGATCGACTAGGATGCCCGGAGATGCGCGTCGTTCACGGGAGAATTCCAATTAGACAATTCTGGTCGATCTCCGAGGTGCTCGTGCACTATCCTGTCTCGGAAACTATCGCCCTCAGAAATCATTTACATTAAAATCGAGATCAGTTTGAAACACGTCACGTTAACTGATGATGTTAACCGACGATGGTCCGTTCTGCCGATTACTTCGAAACAAGCGTATTCTACGAGTTCGGTCGGTCGCTCCGTTCCAGTTCGATCGGTCGATTGTCTCGCAAAGCGCCGTCTTTGTCCGGTGCTTACGTGGTAGTTCTCGTAACGGCAATTCGAGGTTATCGATGAACTCCTTGATGGTTAGCAATAAAACGAACGGCTGAGGCTATGCAACGTAATGTCGCTCGATAGATATATCTTATAGATCGTTTTCCCTCTCCGTTTCCCTCAAGTCCTTAACTCGGTGGATCTCATTTATATCGCGACGTTTCCACCTCTTTTTAATCAGTTTCATTAACACGATAAGAATAGGGTTTCATCACGCGACCGTTAATCTTCTTAAATAAGTAAACTTATCAAATACAAGATAAAATCTGGTAAATTTATTATACGCTTGCACACAAGGCGAATTCTGCCGTGGGATTTTATAATTTTAAACAACGAGATCCCCCAAGAGAAAGGGAAAGAGACACTTGCGAGCCAGCGTATCAGTTCGTCCCTCATCGGCGGTCCTTAATCTCCGCGTATGACTCCAAGGGAGCCATTGCCGCGGAAGTACTCATTCGTTGACTTTATGGACATACGTTGGCAGGTCGTAAGGTGTCTCGTTCTCTTTTATATTGCAACGCGACGGAAACTATTGGTTCTGGTAGTAACGGCGACACTGCCTCGAGCTTTCCTTCCTTCCTTCCTTCCTTACATCGGAGACAAGCTTCACAAAGCGCGGAAGCCACAAGACGTTTACGGCGAAGCCCGGTTTGCTCGTTTAGTTTTCAAGCATTCGGGCGTGCCGCTCGGCCCTTGCTTCGACGGGAATTTTGCGGCATGTACCGCACGATCGCCTTTTCAATGCCAGATGTAACCACCGGCTACCCATTGCGAACGCTCGTCTGCCCCAATGTCGAGACATTCACGAAAGTCACCGCGGGCGACCCTATCCTGATTGCTAATCGTCAAGCTTTACGTCTCGCATTTCGTGCGTCCCACATAATGGCATCGCGATGGTAAATCACGCCATTTCTCGATGGACAAACCCCTCGGCGCAGAAAAAGAAGGAAAACGAGATCCCGTGTCCCCCGGCCAAACGGTCTGACAAGTTATCGCGAAGAAGACGAATTCGGGACGTCCGAGATAATGTCTTCGGCTGTCCTCCAAGATAAATTGAAAGTATATATGCACAAGCGTGTGTGCTTCCGTCAAAGTTATTTCGTGGACTTGACAAATCGATCGGGTGACTCTTACGCGATACACAGCGGAGTAAACGCGTGTGTTCGGTTTGTACCGAGAGTAATCTGACAGAATTTACGCGCGTAGTTAGAATCCAATATGTGCACTCGCTATAATGTGTCTTTGATCAAATTGCACGAAACAGATCAGGATTCAATGCGACTCGCTGAGTGAGGGAACACGATTAGTGGTGTGCGAGGCAAGGTTCCCGATTTCCCAAACACGAATACTTTCCCAGATGAGCTTCCCCGAGATATGCTTGGCCCCATTTTGGTGGCGGATATAAAAACCATTCTGCAAACCACAAAACCGATATTGAAATTCAATTTTGCTACGTTCCTTTTTTTAGCAGACCACCATTATCTCAAATATAGGCAAAAGAAATTCTGGAAGTACCATATGAAGGCACGACGCTTTAATTTAAAATATTTAATTCTGAAACTTCTCAATTTTCCAATTCATTTTATCTCGGGCGCATTTCTCATTTAGGCATTTCTAAATACCTCAGATTTTTTTTCATATTTCAGTGTCTGTACATACTGCCTTTCGTGTTGTTATATATCCGTCTTTTCTTCTCGCAATATAAAAGGACGGATATACATATATCAGGGACGCTCACTCATGGCGAGCATACAAAAGGTGGAGGCAACTCTCAAAGTAACGCGAAGAAAATGCGGATTTTATCGGTTTCGGTCGATGTGCACGCAACCCTCCGAATGTGTATCGAATTTCGAAACTATTTAAGCGAACGACGGTCACACGACACTGTTAACCCCTTTCAGAACTGCGCGAGCACTTTAGGACCAAACTATCGACGATCCCTTTCAATGTTCGTCAATATTTTCTTAGTTTATCTTCCTCTTTCCTATACCCAGACCGCCGACTCGTTCCAAGCTGCTAAACCAATATTAAATCGCGGTTTTATTCTACAATCAATGTTCAGCACTATCACAATTAAAATCCAGTTCTTCCAAGAGGTTTAACTAACCAATGCTGTTAGAAAGTTATCGAAACAGTGCGGATTATAAAAATCCAGTGCGAATCATTTCGCACGTGCGACCATAAATTTTCCAACGATTTTAAAACTGTAAAATCGTTACGATTCTCATGGCGAATAGCCAGTATTACTAGCGATAAAAAAAAAGTTTCTGCGATAAAAGTAAATATCAGGCATATTGCGCCACGTCTCATGAATATTTAATCGCTGGCCTTGCTTCGTTTGACGCACATACACTCACGTCTATGCATTCACACATTTCTCCGTGCACTCTCGACCGATATATTCTAATGCCCGTCGTGGTCGTCAAGCTTTACACACGCTTAAACGCCGATTGTTCCGATCGTAATCGCAGACGGTGGTTGGAGTGCATTTCTGGGATTTCAATGAGTATAACGGAAGGAAGATGTGCGGCAATGGTGGCAAAGGTAAATCGTATTTTCTCATTACATTTCACACTTGTAATACTCGAGTCGATTCAATAAAAACAACTTACGAGCATCTATAACAATCCTAGAATTATCCTATGATTATCCTACGATTAACCTATGATCATCCTATAATTATCTTATAAAGTCTTCTGCAATAAAAATATTTTACGCAGAGGAAGTCAAGCTTTGCTCTGTATCATTCATTGATACTTTCACCGATAATCAGAGACAGTTTTTAACAACACAGCCCATACCTTCTTTATTCCCATTTATTGGGAATTTTCGATGGCAAACGTCTATTGCCATTGTAATAAGACACGTATTTTGATATAATAATGATTAATGGCAGAGCATTGTGCGAAAATAGGACTCACCTGTCGCAATCGGCAATGTCGCATGTCGCATCAATACAATTATCGGGGCGATTGACAAAATTGCAATACTCACCTGTAACAAAAAGAAAAATGTCGTATTAATATCTTACGCTAATTGCAGAGTAATTAATACATATACATATAGAATTATTTATTTAGTAGTAATAATAATAATAATGGCCAACAAGATTAATAAACCGGAATACGATAAAGTCGCTCATTACCGTAAATGGTACCAAGGCTGATTACTCTCTTAGAACATCCTAAGTAGAAAACTGGCTAATGAAAAATATGATTTAACGTTTCGTAAGTATATTATCAATTTTACTTGTGCTTAAAAGAGTCAGATTTTATACAGTTCGAAAAAAAATGCGATAATGAAGGTGGCAGAAACGGAAAGAGGCTAACCAAGACGGCCAGAAAGGAATCTCATTAGCAAATAATACGACCCGAGAGCTTCGCACAAGAATGCAATACGGAACAGACTCGTTACTTGGATGTTTAGAAAAAAGGAATGGTGACGGAGCCATTACAGTCAGCAATTAACCGTATTTGAACATGCAGTCGTGCGTGCAACACAACTCACTGTTGAACGACGAGTGAGACAAAGGCAGAGCGAGAGAGAGGGAGGGGGGGGGGGCAGCCGTTTTAATTATATCGTTGGTTATTCATGAATAAACATGAATTCTGGATCTGACGTCCAAAATGTCTATGATATTCCGTGGCAAAACGGCGATCTCTTGCGAGCCGAAGAACAATGAGGAAGAAGGCCGGATAATCTTCGTTGCGCAAATAAAGCTACCCGAGATATACTGAATTTCTATGCAGCCCAGATTGAAAATTGCGAGACAGTGTGCAAATGAACACCATCTAAGCCAGAAAATCATTAGATCATCCAGGAATTTAATGAAGCTACGGCGTTAACTTGAGACCGCGTACGTTACAATATATTATTCGTGTATAAATCGATTCATATTGACATATATGTTGATTTATTTTTCCAAAGTTATCTATTGACTTTATTATTTCTTCTATTAGTACAACTCTACGAGCTGCCCAGTACACACGCGACAAATGTATTAGCCTGTTTCCGCACCAAGTTTTTCTATCGTATGACAGCACTTTCAAAGATTACAATTTTTCTCTGTAAGCATATTCGGAACAACAGTCGCACTGTTTATAAAACAAAAATCCACGTTGCCGTCTTCATTTTCATGATGAAAAACTGTCTTTTTCCAAACGTATTTCTCTTTCGGCTGTCACTGTACGTTTCTTAATTTGTATTTTGCTTTTTATAGTGCGAGCACCAAAATTTGTTAAGACCTTCCTTAATGAGATTATTAACCGATACTTTCAGGAATTGTGAATAAATGCGACCGTTAAACGTTAATTTAGTACGTACACTTTTGTTCCTCGTAAACATTTAATTGTAAATAATTAGTGTGTATTTGTAAATGTATTCAAATAGTATTCTATTCGACCCATAACAATAAGAATATTATATATCATTTATCATACATATATTCATATCCTTTTAATTAAAATAGAATTATTTCCTGGCTGAATGTCATCAACTGAATTATATTAATAACTCTCGGGCAATTTCCAATATAAAGGTACAATATTATACAATACTTTGCTCGTTCCGCTAGGACGAACGTCCTTTCCCGGGGTGCATTGGGAACGTTATCATATTTTAATAATTCAAAACGTTAGGACTTGGAGTTGTCGCAAGAGACGAGCGCTGTGACGATGGAAAATATTATGGCATACGAAGTATCTTTTCCTGGCGCTCGCTCTATCGACTAATCTTATCAGCGCTGTCATAAAGGAAAATAACCCGTGGACAGAGGAGAGATAAAATTATGGGATATTAACCTCGTTCCGCGGTGTACTGGATGTCGGAGGGGGAGGGGGGGGGGGAGGAATCAAGCCTGGCAGGTCCGAGCTTGAAATGTTTGCAAACTGCCGTTTACAAAACGGTCAACAAGATTGATGCTCACCGGGATACGATTAACGTGACGAACGCACGCTTATTACCGTAAATGGCGTCAAGGCCGATTACCCTTTTATTGTTAGAACGGCACCCCGAGCAGAAAATGGCAAGTGAAAAATGTATGACATTTCACAGCGGCAAGTTCGGGAATCGTAATTCGCGCCGTTGCGAGCGCTCGTATCAGTTAGTCTAATCTCTCCTTCCGGATCGCGTGAGCTTTTTACCATTTTTAGTCATCGTATAAATATGAATCATATTATATATGTATAAGTGCTGGAGTACGAGGGAAAGCTATAAAGCCGAGCGCGATAAAGTTACACGATACTGTGTCGCGCCTGCGACGATTAGATGACATCGCGTTTGTGTAGGAGAGAAAGAAATGCAGGGATTTATTTAACGCCTTAGTTAAGTGGCTCTAGAAGCGCATTTTACAACTTAGCGAACGCGAGTAACAAAACTCGAGTAAAAAGCTACCGGTGAAATAAATCGTGACGGTGTCGCGCAACATCGAAATTTGTTTCGCGTTTCGCCGGCTCTGCAGCGATCCACTTTGCAAGCGATGCAAATTGCGTGAGCTGATCGAAAACCCTCGCCCCCTCACGAACGCTATACCGGATTAAATCGCTGCCTCAAACTCGCTTCTTTTGACGATCGGGTATCCTTGAGACTATCGCGCGGGAGGATCTCCGCGAGGCCCGCGACTCGTCCGGAAGCGGAGCGGACCGGATAAGGAGGCGAGGCAAATGGAAGGGTCGATGCCTCGTTTGCCTGACGAGACGGATAAAAGGAAACGTTTCCAAAGCGCCTGGACCAGTACCAATTGGCCTGGTTCAATGGATACGGACAGCCTCAAAGGACGAAGATCCCCGCTTTTAATTCTTTTTTACAATCATCTTGGCAAATACAAAATCTCAAATTGAAAGGAAAGCGCCTATCCCGCTCGGTTGCCCGAAAGAACAGATACGAAGTCATACAATAAATCCTTTTCCAACGGCACTTGGACATTTTCCAGGACGTAATTCGTCGACCTACTACTAATATAGAACGAGTAAATACTGCGAAATTAAATATATAAAAAAAAGAGGCGAGCGCAGTTGAGAAAAGAGATTTAGAACGTACACGTGTTACTCCGCGTTGGATCGCGCGGGGAGATAAGAACCCGCTTACGTCTGTGTTTCAGCTGAACCGCTGGCGAGAGGTTCATTTGTCATTGTTGCAACCGGCTAATAGCGTAAGTCAATCAACGAGAACGTTAACGAGCATCTAGAGGATTACCCACATCACGTAAACTGAGCACCAGGGCTACCATAAGATCGGCTAATCCGCGATCGATTGGCTATTTGACGCTTATCGACACTGAAAGTAAACTGAGCTAGTTCCCTGATTAATGGTCCTTTAAATTAAAAAACCGTTTAGCCGTATTGCGTTGCGTGTAACTAAGCAATTTACATCTTCAGAGCGTTCTATGGGCAATTGACTCTACACCTTTCTGACCAATAAATCGTCTTGATTTTAATTCGAATAACTTTGGGGAAGGGTCTCGAAAATTCCGCCCGAGTTACGGCGCGACATGACACACATCTAGATGATATAACATTGGTGCGAAAACGAACATTTGCACGTTCCGTGACGACGTGCCCTCAACTCGTCGAAGTAACGCTAACGACTCTCTACGGCGAAGTTGCGGAAAACGACAGGGGGACTTTATACGAAGGAGAGATGAAACGCCGGACATATCCAGGAATTTCCACGGCGATCCCAATAATACGCTTTAAACGGCGGTTCCCGTTTCGCGTAGAGCGCATCAGTTTAAATTAACGGAGGCATTATCTCGTTGCGTGGAAATTGCAACCGAAATGACTACCTCGTAACCGTTTAGAAAAACTTTGGCCGGCAAAACTTGCGAGCGGCGATGATATCGCGCGGACGCAGCCGGAATTTACCGCGCGATGGTTTCGACAGCGCAGAGGCGGATGCGAGAACGCTCTCGTTTTACACGCTCTCGTTAGCACATCGTTCTCAAATAACCAGCCTGAGAGACAAATACCCCCGCGATGACCGCGCGCGCGCGTATCAGGATACGGACACGAAAGCGTCTAACGATAAGTCCTGCAAGGTATAGGCGGCGCCGAATGTATCATGAATATTTCAAGTCCCGTAAGTGTCTGCGGAGGCAAGAGCTGCTTCGAATTCAGCCGAAGCGACGCGACCAAGTCTCCCGTCTCCCCTTGCCGCTTCTCTTGGTCCGACAATGAGATCGATGAAGCCGCTTGTCTTCGATCGCAATCGCGTGCACGTCGCGGGAAAACAACGCGCGACTACCGTCGATACTCGGCCCGATGAATTATCGGGTCCGATAAAAATCAAACAATGGAACCGTACGTGCCGCGCGGCGATGAAAAACAATAAAATAAACCATCTCGCCGAGCAAATGGTTCTCTCCGTTTTGCCCTCTTGTCCGCGGTCTCGCTTGTAATCCGTCAAGAAATAAAGCGCGTACGTGGCTCGAATGGCGAGAGACGAATGTGGACGCGTGACTTGTGACTGGATACCTTCACTTGTCCGCCGTGTAAACCAGTGCATTTTGCTGCTACCGTAAAATGACGTAATGTAATCCGCGCAAATACGAGGATGAGAATACCTTTTGCTCGCCCTTCGTCCCGTCGCGACTACAAAGGGTGCAAGTTTTATTTATCAAAATTTCGCTGATTGCAACAGGCAATTTTACCAGAACTGAACCAGAGGAGGTTTAACGGAAATCCTAATAAAGACGCCCTACCGACGTTGCGAAGAAAATAACGTTCCAATCTCCGTTTGTACCGGAGGCGACTCACCACATCCCTTTGCAGAGCTTTAGGGCTAAAAACCATTATTCGCCGCTGCTTCCTGATAAGTCTGCTGAGCCGCTGGGTTCTTTGGGCGCAGGTCAGTGGTTTTCCAGAGACCGGGAACTCGTCCTCCAACTCGCCCCCGAGATCATCCTCCACGCTTTTGTCGACCGGCGAGCTCTGCTTCGTAGTTACCGTGCTCAATGGCACGGCCCTCGCAATCAGAGTCTCGCTACGCACGCTCCAACTGGACCCACCGTACTTCTTCATGTTCATCAAATCGCCTATGCTGCCCCTAACGCTGCTGCTGCCCAGCTCAAGGTTCATTCGGGACAAGGCGGGTGAATGCGGAAGCGACTCGGAGCACTTCTCTGTCGATTTGACAACATCCGGTAGGATTGTCTTGCTCTGCAGCTTATCCAGATCCGACAGGGACGATCCTCGGCGTATTTTCGCTCGCGGCTCTTGCAGGCTTTTCTTCAAGAATCTCTCCTTGCTCTCCTTCTCGCCGCGGCTCACGCTCTTCGACGATAACGACGACTTCATAGCGAACAGACCCGCCTTCAAAGGGAACAATAAAGCCCATTCCGTCGACTTCTCCCGAGTCTCCATTGTGCGGGATTTTTTTCTCGCCTCTCTTGATGATACTCGGAGACTCGATAAGACAGCTCTTTCCGTTTCAGCGGATATTGAGAATTCGTTTCGTCAAAAACGTTAGTCTTTTTTTCGCGAGTGGCAAGAGTCCCTGCTGTTCTCGTCGTCCGCGACGGTTTCAGCATGACGTGTCCATGCAGAGCCGTTAAAATATTGAAACGAATCGCAGTTACATGCGTCGAGGGTATTCGCGATAGTGTCGCATCCGCTATTTAAGGACGTCCGCTCTTGAGTGCTTATCGAATTTCATTCACACCATTCGTTAGTTGTTGTACCCTTCGACTTGAACCGATTTGAAAAAATAAACAATCTTTTTATACGCGTTGCATTTTCTTTTCATGATATTGATCTTCGTTGCACGTATAATCCACAGGCACCCGGCATCCTGATAATTCCCTCGGATAACTCTCTCCGTCCAAGCTCCTACGTAATTTCCTCATGTCGCCGGTATTTAAATCCGAGATGCGCGGCGCGACTTATTTTGACGTAGATTTATAGTACCTCGCGCGTGAAAGGGAAGATCCTCTTTCAGCCAGTTCCACGATCAGACTCGCTAAAAGATCCGAGCGCGGGAACAGAGCCGAAGGCGGTGGTCAGCCTCCCTCGGCTGGACCACTCGGTGGTATTTTCACTTAAGTTAACACGACCCCCCGCACAGACGCGCCCTTTGCGAGGCGTACGACGATACTTCCGTCTAATAAAAGCCTAATAACGATCGATACAATTGCCCCGCCTCTTTCACTCGCCGATTCGTTGAAGTCGAGGGTGTGCTTAGCTTCGAACCTAACGAGAAAGAGGTAACTTGAAGGGAACTCGAAGAGCGGGGCGAGAGACTTTCGCCCTTCGGTCCCTCTCGCACGGCGGCCGGGATGCTCGTAGTCGTCGTCGGACCATTGACTATTACGATACTGAAAGAGAAACGTTCAGCTCGGCTTGACAAGCGCCAGCCGAGCGATAAGCATAATGGCGGGAGGCAAGACCTTGCCGCGAAGGTGATACCGACTTCTCGCCGTCGGACTGGCAATCGCATACGGGCTTTTGATTACGAAGCGGGCCACCGGCTTGGCCTACATAGATTACGTTGCACGAGGTCCTACCGTAGCAAAAAGGCGTGTGTGCTTGAAAACTTGAAAGAAGAGTCGTCTCTTCAACCCTGTTAACCCTTTCGCGTAGCCGAATTATTTTTTATTCTATTTTCATTCTTTTGTATGTCTTTCTTCAGTGACAGAATGCAACGTTAAATCATCGAGTCCCCTTGAAAAGTGTAAGTGGAACTTGTATGTTCCATTAGTCGTGAAATAGTTAAACATTCACATAGCTAAAAGAATCCCGCGATATATATAGTACACTACGTCATTATCGAAATGAGTCAGTACGTTTGATTTCGTGCGCGTGTACAAGCTCGATATCGCGTAAAATAATTGCTTCGTAATACACATATGTATGTGCATCCGTTTTAATCATAACATGTGAATCATATAAATTAATTAAAATATAAATATGCAGTATCGAGCGCAGCTACATTGGCGGGAGATTGAAATGTAGAGCGCGTATGGGGGATTGCGTTGGCCTGTACACGCTTAAAATTGTACCTCGAGATGAACCGACGGGGCTCTCCGCGAAATAATACGCTGTAAGCGCGAAGAATTGTGCGTGGGGAACGGAATAAAGGCAAGATGAGGCTTTATCAAGACGCGTTTCGACGGCGGAATGCAAAATGCACGCGACGAGGAGGAATCCGAATAAAATGCAAAGTGAAGCGCGCTCGCAGCACGGAAACCTACATCTTTACGTGAATAATAAAAAACGGCGGCGGCGATACGGCGGAGAAATCCGCCGACGTGCGTAATAATAACGCGGTGGTTACTACTGGTAGTCACGATCAAGTATAAGAACGTGTCTACACGTAAAAGCTATTTTATCAGTGAGAAACAAAGACGGGAGGAAAAGTACGCTCGGACGGCTGACCCTTCAACTCTTATAAATCGCTTTAGCGAGAGAAACTCGGTCCCGAACGACAGAAAAATTCCACCGCCGTTGAAATATCCGTCCTAATGCGATCCGATCATTTTTCTTCTCGCTGCGCGCGACGAGAGAAAGAGAGGAGGAAAATGAGGAGCACCTGGGAAATATCTCCCTGCGACGTTCGCGAGATTCGCGAGGATCGCTTGGGCTCTCTACCGCGATTTTCGGCGGAACGTCTCTCCCTGTCTCTCCCTGTCTCTCCCTGTCTCTCCCTGTCTCTGTCTGTCTTTCCCTGCCTCTCCCTGTCTCACCTTGTCTCTCCCTGTTTCTCATTGTCTCTCCCTCTCTCTTCCTGTGTCTCCCTGTCTCTCCCTGTCTCTGCCGGTCTCTCCCTGTCTCTGCCGGTCTCTCCCTGTCTCTGCCAGTCTTTCCCTGCCTCTCTCTGTCTCACCCTGTCTCTCCCTGTTTCTCATTGTCCTCCCTGTCTCTCTCTCCCTCTCTTGCGCGCGTTGAATTGAAACCGTTGATTTGCACGAGTGCGTTGCGCATCGCGAAAACCGTGCTCTCGGGAGCCGTATCCCTCGCGTCGAGTCCAACTTCCCGGCGAATCAATCCGGTTGTTTCCCGTAGGACGATTATTCCGCCGAGGATAGTTCTTCCGGCGAGCGAGCGAACGTGCGCGAGGCCACGCAGGGGGGAGGGGGAGGAAGGGGACGATAATTGAGCTCCGCAAGAGTAATATAGTAAATTCGGCTATTGTTCCCCTGCGCGCACGTGGTACTCGTTTAAATGCCGCCCAAACAATGCGGCATTGCGACTCCCTTTTTCGTTTATTGTTCTCTTTCTTTCTTTTTTTCGGAAATTCGCCGTTCCTTCACGTAATTTCGCAATGATCGTGGAGTAGCCTTTTTCGAAAATTTGATTGAATTCCCACGAACGTTTGACTAAGCTATTCTATAAACCGTTGTCGGTCGTGGCAATTACGGCGCCAAGAGGCCGAGCTCTCCCCTGGTACGGTTTCTAAGCCCGCGGAAGCGGAAAACAAACAATTGCTTCGGCAACTGCCTGTTTCGGCCCACCCACGGCTCCGCGCGAATTTACATTTTCCACCCGGCGCGGCGCGGCGCCGGGGCCAAAGTTTCTCGAGCGTATACGATATATCGACTCTTGCGGTTCCCAGGAGTGCGCCAGGTGCGTACTCCGGTACTTTCGTACGGGCCGACAGGACTGCGTTAATGGAAGTTTCGTGTAAGCCAGGCGTTAATCTGGCACCGGACGACCCGGCAACGAGCGGTACACTTTTAAGGCGGCGGTGGCGGCGGCGACGTCGAGGCGATAACGAGCGTCAATAATTCGCCGCCGGTACTTTATGTCGCCAAGCATTTGCCTCGCACCTAAATCAATACACGGCATATGACGGCAATAACGTTTAACGGTCGACGATTAGCACAATATCGACGCAATTGACGAAGGAAATATGTTCTCCATCGCGAGTTGCGGGGCGGACAGGTGAAACGCGGGCGGAAAAAGCGGCCGGAAACTGCCGGTAATGCATGTGTATGCCGTGGCCCTTACGCCAGTCGCTTTGTCTCGAGTTTCCAGGTGGATTACGAAGCCCCGTGGATGATTGAAACGGACATTTCGACGAAACGATACCATCGATGCGTCACGCGAGTGTCCGATTGTTTAACAGTCTCGTCGCATCCTTCCCGGAAAGTAACGTCACGGTGTCGCGCTTCTTTATCCGCACGCCATTTGCGAGATATTTGATCAATCGTTTTTCAGCCGATGCATAAGCTGATGTATAACGATGCACGTATGTACCTGCATACGTGCCGAATCGAGTGTTGTTTTTGTCCGGTCGGGAAAAAGTATTTTTCTACAAATCGATAGGGAGCGGGACTCCGCCTCTGTCTCTGCATTAATGATAATGCCGCCAACGTTCTATCAATCATCACGACACCAGCGAACGAAACTAGTTTATGCAAATAATACCCGCGACTATAGATAGGATCGACGAATCCCTATCTCGCAGCCTCGTTAAATGTATTCGATGGGGATCAACGTACTGCCAGCGACCTTCCGGCCTTGAACAATTAACATACAAACGAGCGACAAACCGGAGAACCGGGCAGCTCGTTTCCGCGCGCGCGCGACAAATCGATGTTACGTGAAGGTAATGATTGACAAGGTCGTTGTAGCTTGTCGCGAAGGACTGCGGCAAATGCGGGCTGCCGCCAACGATAATGCCGGCGTCGCCGCATTTTTCCAAAGGTCACCACCACGATCATTGACCGTCATTCTAACGTCGAATGCCGGCGCGATCGGTTTAACGGCCGAAATTTTAAAACAAAGCGCCGCAGAATTCGTTGGCAGCGGCCGCTCTGCTGTATTGTCGCCGTCCTCGCGCGGGAAGAATGAAAAGCGTGTCGTTGGGTCTTGATCTTACGTACGTTTAGCTGCATGATGATCTGATTGTACGCCCAGTGCCACCGCTGCCTCGCCGTCATCTCTGGACGTTCCTTCAGTTGCGTGGGCACCGGCGTGACCCCGACCATCCCGAGAAGTTCCTCGTCGGCCGGCGGCTCCGGCGGACTTCTCGGCGGAGTGTCCATCTGAACGCTTTCGTCTAACGACGCCTGCTTTATTATACTCCCTGAAATTGAGTCAGCCGGTCGATTGATTAGCACGAAAATGTTGAGCAACGTTGTATTTCTTATTCAATCGATAAACTAGCGAGATAATCTTACCGCGTGGGCTGTCGATATGCGACATAGGCGGAGTCCCCTTGTACTGCTCGACCAGTGAGTCCTCTCGAGAGTTACGAAGCAAGGCTTCCTCGCCCCGTTCGTACCTTTGGCAAGAATAAAAAGTTGACACATCCGAACTGATATATACATCGACGGAAGAATATTATTTGCAGTTGTTAATTATAATTTATAATTGTAAAATTTAATTTCATACCTCTCGAGAGTCTCGTCCCGCATCTGGTAGTCACCGTTCACTGCGCTGCTCAGAACGATATCGCTCTGATCTATCGACTCCTGATCCTTGAAGTGACCGCGTTGGTAGCTCTCCGCTCTGGAAATGGGCTGCGGCGTGAAGTTGTGCCCGTAATTGCTACCTCGCAGGTCTCTCTGCTGATACGAATCGGTCCTGGTGAGAGGTGGTTTGAATACTTCGGTGGTCGACGAGAAGGAATCCTTCCTAGGCAGTTGAGCGTACGATCCTCTACGACTGTAAGATTCCTCGGCGTAGTTATCCGAGATGTAAGAGTCCCCTCTCGTGAGCCTCGGTTTCTGCGAGAGCGTCGACTGAGAGTGCTGACTCTGGTGAGACATCTGCGAATCCTTTCGCTGCATATCTTTAGGGATGATCTCTGGATAATCTTCGTCCTCGATAACGTCCTCCTGGTAGGAATCCGTTCTGGCTAACGGTCGTTTCCCGTTCACGAGATTCGTCGTGGTGTGGACCATCGCGGTAGTGGTTACGTGATTGGCTATCGTCACGTGATTCACCAGCGTCGTCGCCTGTGATTGAGCGACATTCTGAGGAGACTCCACCAAGGTGGCGGGCGCGGGACTCGAGTCACCCGCTGTCGAGTACTCGCTGTACGCCTTCTTGGCGAGTTGACTGCTGGCGACGGAGCTCACGGCGGTCTCGAACGAGTCCTTCAGCTCATCGTCCCTCGACTCGAGCGAGTCCGTATTCTGCTGAAGAAGCGGGCTGGTCTCACGCTTGCCGCTGAGCTTCTTTCTTCTCGAACTGCTCAACGCATCCTCATTTTCTTGAGACTGATAGAGGTAGTCCGACTCGCTTGACGGATAACCGTTCGTTCTCGTCTGACCTCGCGGCGTGGTCACGGATAGCTCAGGCACTTCGCTCTGTCTTCTGTCCGTCGCCGTCACCGAGCCCTCCTTGTAACGCTGCTGTTCCTCAAAGGACCCCTGATACGAGTCTGGATACTCGTCGTACGACTCCTGATAATCTTGATAAGTTTCTTGGTAATTGTTCTTATACGTCGTAGGCACGTCATTCTGTTTACTATACGGAGTTTGATAGTCTACGAAATCTTCCTGCGGCTTGGTATAGGATTCCTGATAATTATCCTGCGACGTAACAGGCACTTGATTATACGTCTCTTGATAAGTCTTCTGATAATCGGTCGACGTATTAATATTGTACTGGGAATCATACTGTTGCGGCTGATACTGATTATAGGTGTTCGTGACGTTATTTTGATCGTAAACGCTCGTCGGCACGGTGGTCGTAACACCGTAATCGTCGTATTGCTCTTGATAAACGTCCTGTTGCTTGTATTCCGGCTGTTGGTACTCAACGTTGTTCTGATTGAAGCCCATCTCGTGATAATTATCCTCGATTACCATACCATCAGGCTTGTCGTATTGATTCTTCGCCTGATTCGCGTACTGTTGATCGTTCGCCTGGCTGGCGACTGGATATGTCGTGTCCAGATACTCTTCCTGATACGCCTGGGTGTTCTGCTGCACGAAAGGTTGCTGGTACTCGTCCTTGTACGAGTTCTGTTGCGTGTACGTTGTCTGTTCGTAGCTGTTCTGCACATGTTGCTCCGGAAACGACTGACCATACTGGTCATCGGCCTGCGTCGCGTAGCCGTACTGATTATCCTGATTTATCTCGGGATACCGAGTCTTGTTAACGGAGTCGGTCTGGCCGCTCTGCTGTTGGCTGTAAATGTTCTCCGTATACGTGTCCTGCGGCAGATTGTCCTGACTACGATAAGCGTAATTATAGTCCTCGTTATAATCGGATTTGTAGTAGCTCTCCTCGGAGGGCGTTCTGGTCTTTGGCAGTTGTCTGCTCGGCGTGGCGGGCAGAGAGGCGAGCTTACGGCTGATCACCACGTTGCTCGGTTTGGTCGGGGTCGGAGGTAGTTTCTTACCGGTGCCACCCTCCTGCCGCGACATCGGACGTTGCTGCGGCTGCAAGATCTTCCGGCGACGAGTATTATATCCGCTTTAGGAAGAATATCAGAAACATTATATAGCAATACATCATGTCGAGTATAAAAGGTGTTCGTTTAATAATTTTTTTTAAATATTGTTTTGAATTGTATAAATGAAGTGATACATATTTAGGTATATGTATGTATCATTTTATTAAGCTGCTTCAATTTTAATTCGTATACTTTTTACTTGTCTATAATTGTAGCACGTTCCAATGTTCCACTTATTTATGATAAAATTAGAATAACAAATGTGTAAGTAGAAGAAATATAACGTACTTATAGTCAAGTTCTTCCGATTCATAGCTACGCTGTCGGGTAACGGTGGGTCTGTAATCCGGCCGGTGTATACCGATGCTCGAAGCCGGCCTCTGCGGAAGCGTCTTTCGGTTTCGTTTATTCTCATAATACGTACTTCCGAAGCCTCGTTTCCCTCCACTGTCCCACTGCCTGTCCTCGTCGTCCTGGCCATATCTACGGAGAGAGAAAGGGAGATGAAGATTTCGCTTTTTCTCCGACGACTTTATTGTTTTCCCTCGCGATATTTGTTGCCGTCGTGCTGGCTTACCTCTCATCCTGATAGACGTATCCCGTTATGGTGTCGTAGTATTCGTTATACCTAATATCCGTCTCGCATTCCGGATACGTGGCGCTCATTTTACCCACCCTACCGTCGCTGCTATATCCATCAGCGTAATACGAGTGATCGTCGTATAGGGTCATCTGTCTCTCCAGAGACGGTCTTCTGTACGGGACTGCTTGGAAAACAGGCAAAAAAAAAGTCACGCACATTCATCTTCATTCCTGAATGCATCATAGCGAATATTCGACAAAATTGAAAGCGAATGAGTTTAATTAAAACTACGCAGGCGCATTTAAAGCATGCTTTATTTATCGTTGCATAACCGAGCGTAGAATTTAGGATTCTGTGTAAAGTTTGAGACTAGAAAAGGGGAGTAAGCGTAAAAGATGTAAAATTTTGTCGAATAAACGGCGAAAGTACCTTTTCCTCTCGGTCTTCTTGTGGTAGACGTCGTGTTGTTTGCGTAATATTCAGTATCGCTATAAATTCTCGTATCATCGCCCCTCGAGCCATGATAATCGTATGTACCCTCGCTGTACCAGCCGTCTTGGCTGAAAGCATGAAATAACGATCAAAACTCTTTGGTCACGCCAGAACGAAGGGGATCGAACCGAGGATGAGATGACTCGTGATAAAGGACTTTTTGTCGATCTTCCTGAATGATCAGCTGCAATTACTAACTGCACCATGCAAATGCCTGTGAATTGGTTTAATGCATTGCTTCAACCTCCGAATTAATATCCAATTTGAATGAGACGTATATTCGCTGATGCGTATCCGCGTATTAAAATTCTCGGCATGTTTTTTTAAGTCGCAGAGGCGAAGCCACGTGCAACTAAAATGTAAGCCGCGTACAACTATCAATTAAAGGCATGAGTTTCTTGTTTCTTTTTTTATGCATATTATTAAGGCGAAACGAGTGCTCGGCGACGGTGGCCTACATTGTAACGTACGGCTTGCCCGACGTAATCACTGTTGCGATCGATGTGTTTGCAATTGCATACGATTAATTGAGTGCAACGCAATCACAAGCCAAACCTAGCGTTGCGGTAATGCACGATGTGGTGCCAATCGTGATATGCACGGTAAGAACAAAACATGATGGATGAAGTTGATAAATCGCGTATGCGTGAGTGTGCGCTGTAGAGAGTTCGCTGAAATTCTCACGAAACCACGCGGCCGCGCTCGTATCGTACCTGTCCTCGTAATCCCATGTGTGCTTCCGTCGTCTGAATCAGGCAAGAAAATAATATAAACGATTTTCTTCCGTCGTATTCATCTCTGTGAGCCTAGCAATAGGGTCTGCGCGCAATTGGCGCATGAATAGTAAAACGCTCTACGTATCTTTCGCACAAAGCAGATCATAGGGAATCGCCAATGTGTTCAGTTGCTTTTATTATCTTATCGCCGAGTACGCTAACTGGGACTCCGCGCGACCTTCCAACGCGTCATGTACCTGTATTCCTTGTAGTGCTTCGGTCTACTGTTGTAGAAGAGTGGCTCGGAAGACTCTGAAGGATGCTGCTGAGTCTGCAAGTACCGCTGCGGTAGACCATCCTCCGGATATGGCTCGTCGTATCTCGGACTGTGACCCGAGCCTACGTAACTCCCGTAATTACCAGGTGCCAGCCTCCCACCGACGGTGACTGGAATCTGGCGACACGTCACTTTCTTAATTTATTTAAACGGGGCGGCAAGGGAATCGGAAAAAGCCAATCCGTTCGAATAGACAATCCGGGTGGGTTTTGCAATTGAATAACTCTCGAGATTATATTGAACGTTACATTAGGAGTTCGTTTAACAACGTGTCTATTTCGTTTAAGTGTCCTGTGCAGAAACTTTTCCTGCCGTCGATCAATACCTGATGATCGTCTCTCTCGTAACTATTTTCTCTCGATGTCTCGAGGGACCTCTGAGGTGTAGTCAATTGGTTGGCCGCCGTGCGAAACTGCGAGGCCGAGCTGTTCGCGCCCTGCCCACCTACTGGATAATTCAAATCCGACGTGTAGTCAGAGTCCTCCGAGTATCCCGCTGAAAGATGGATTACAATGTATAGCGTATCGAAGAGGAAACGATCTGGTGGGCGCGTGGAGTAAAAAGTATTTAGCGACGCCCGATAGTGCCCTGACAACTTTGCGTATTGGGATATTGGAACGTCGCCTCGCTTCTGCAACGTCGACGGGACTCGTGTTACTTTCCTACGGCTGAAGAATGTTGGGAAACAAAATGCAACTGAAAGAAGAAAATGAAAAGTCACATTCCGAGCAGGCAGAGGTATCAAATTATCTCTAGCAATGATCCGCCAGGTTCTATTTTCAGGCCTGCCCGTCGGTGCGCAAATCGATAAGTGTTACTTTCGCAAAAATTCACGTTTACATCAGAACAGCGAGTTGACGGATATATTCGCGCTCGTTTCCCTGAATAAAACGTGATGCCAATTCCAACTTGGTCGTGACAGTTTCGCAACTTCCCGCAGGCAGAATTGGTCGATATTGGTAGAATCCGGGAACTGAAGTGGTGCAATAGCAGGAAGCAAGATAAAGTATAGTTAACAGCCATGCGACAAATTGATCGTTATGTAGGCACCGTCTTCATTTTCTTTCCTTTCTTTCTTTCTTTCTTTTTTTTTTAGTCTCTCGTGTGTGTCTTTTTTCTTCATCCGGAAATTGGGACCGGTAGGAATGCAAATTACCGTACGGAGGGTATTATGGAACGTTTGCAAGAACACAGAACGAAAGGATCGGCCAGACACCAACGTTTTGTTCAATACAGAGAGAGAGCTAGCTTGCTTGCCACATGCCTTCTCATAGCTGTTACACGGGCTAAAGGGGTTGCTAGAAGGGGGCGTAACAACTGGGTGGTAAGTTACCGACGACACGTCGATAGCCGATAACACATATGAAATGGCGTCTCGTATGCCCGTTTTCTTCAGGGTACCAGGCTACGTACTCGCCGTGGGTAAGACACGCGGCGTACGATCGCTGATTGCAAAATAGCGGGGCCAGCACGGAGCCAAATTGATTTCTCGCATGGAAAAACAAGGGCGTAAAAGTTTTATGACTTACTCGGAAGTAGCGTTCAAGCGAACGACCTAGAAAGCCACGGTTTCTAAAAATACTGCAAGTATGTCGGACGACCCGACGTGTGGATGAAAGTGTCGTGTGACGTAGGCTGCAGCAAATTAGCGCTCGCGATGTAAATATTACAAGCGTTATCCGCATGACAATCGATCTTCGCGCGCATCGTGCTTTTTTTTTCTCCTCGGAATCGAGACCAATATAAAAAAAAACCAAACCGAACCGTGACGGTCGCGGACAATGGTATCGCGGACGGCAAAGCGCATCACAAATCGGCCGCGGGGGTGAATCGTAACGCGATACGCGCAGAATAGAGAGCTGGAATCGAAATAATTCAACATCTGCGTGTGTTTTTACTTCAATACGAACTTTATCGTGAAGATCGATACCGCGATTTCTTGCCTTCTCGGCTCGCGCCGGGAGATGTGTGCACGTTTCGTTTCACTCGAATTCGCCGCGGGTGAAATTTCCACGGGAGTTAAAGAGAAATCAATCCACGGCGTATCGCGAGCGAGTTCGTCGCCGGACCGGAGACCGAATCGATCGGGGACGTTTCTCCCGCGCCGTGACGAGCGATTCGAATAAGATATCAGCCATCTAAACTGTTAACTTGACGGTACTTACAGTGGCCTATATTGTACAATATCTGCCTTCGTGCCTGTTCGGCCCGCGCCTCCTGGTCCATCATGTTGTTCAGCATTTCCAGCTTCCTCTGCAGATCGGCCGCATCCGTGTTCTCGGGGTCTTTCGAAAAGATAGATATCGATGGGGAAACAGTTAATCGCGAGTCACGATAATCTGACGTCCGTCAATCGGTCTGTCATCCTAAGTTTACTTATTGTTAGATACGTACTCAATTCTCGTGAGAAAAAAAATAGACTAAAAATAGAATGCTGCCTATATCGTGTGTCTACAGCAAAGTTCCACTAGTCTATCTAACGAGCTCGCGACCGACGCGGCTAAAGCAAGAGCTTTACATTTTGACCGAACGTTATTCGCAGTCCCTTGTGTGATCGTAATTCTTTCTTTTTTTATTCCTAATTTAACTGACGTAAAACATCGGAAACGCGTCCGTTTGCCGTAATCAAGCGTACACATTGCTCGAAAATTGCGCAAATCTCGGTCTAAGTGGTCTAGAAAGAGCAATCTACCTCGCCAGATTACTCTGTATAAATAATATCAACTCTCAGCGTTATCCCCCATCCTCCCTCCGCTCCTTTCTCTCTCTCTCTCTCTCTCTCTCTCTCTCTCTCTCTCTCTCTCTCTCTCTCTCTCTCTCTCTCTCTGCGCTCAATCATAATTATATATTGAACCAACAAACTCCGAGGAGGGTTTGCAAACTTTATCAAACTACGACAACGCGCGACTCGCCGCTTCCAGAGAGCTCAGGCCGATTTATTATGGGACTATTTCGCGAGCTACCCCATTCCAGCCAACAATTCTGCTACTCTGACGACGTTACAAGATACTCCCTGGTGGAAAGAAGGGGCGTACCGTCCCAGCATTTGCTCCACGCGCGCGTTGAGTGCATCAGTTTCTCGTCTTGCTATCGCGCTTCCCACCCTGTCCCTAAGGGCAGTCTGCTGCATAACTAGCACTTGGATCGGCTACTTAGAATGTAGTAGACGTCTTGATGAAAGCAGTTGATCTTACCCCAAAACGAAGCAGGTTTCGTCCACGTGAAATATATTCCATGTTTTTCTCAACACATTTAACTTTGACAATTTTAGCCGCGGTGCGCGAGCAGGAACATGTCCATTTTGATCATTACGTGCTCCCTTCTTGTTCGAGAATGATCAGACGCTGCAATGACGCGATTTCGGCGCACATTTTTCATTCCTCTTCGAAATATTGTAAGGCCGCGCGTGTCTCGTTGCCCCTTTTGCGTGTAATTTCCGTTGAATCCTGGCCACAGCTCGCCCACTGTGTGCATGGCAGGGAGCATGATTCCCAACTTCGTATCTCATCTATGCCTCTGGACGCAATTAAAAAAAGGGTCAAGCCTTTGACCCTCGAGGAGATCAGGTCGTCTCGCGAGTGCCGTCCGCTCTCCTTTGAGAACCAGCCGCTGCCGGCGCAAGTTTCGGTCCTACCTCAACCTCAGGCGGCACGTCTCCACCTCCCTTCGGTGACCCTACAACCGCAAGCCGGCGGCTCTTTCAGCCCGTCTTGCGCGCCAACTCCGTCGTCTCTCCTCGGCAAGTGCGAGGGGGAAAAAAATGGGAGAAAAAGGAACGGAAACGCATTCAGCTGAGTGCCGTAATGCGGGAATTGGAAAAAAGTATCTTGCACTTCTGACACGTCCTCACCGCTGTCGCACATTTCCGGGCTGGACGGGCGAAATAAATGCAATGTCGTGACTGCAGGCGCCGGTAATGGCGTAACAGTAACAGCTGGCCGCTCGTATATTGACAAACTTTTAGCGACAACCGTGACGCTCGTCGCGAAAGCGGTCTCATCGCCGCGCTCGAGAGGCGCTTCCTCTATTTCTGCTCCGCTCGTTATTTTCCTCGTTCCTCTGTCAGACGTCACTCACCTACGGATGGCTAAATCAGGGACCTCGGTGTCGATATCGCGGCCAAATATATTTGGAGTTCACGTACCGAATAATCTGATGGAGACGTGCAAAGTGCACTCTCCGTCGCGCTTTCGCATCTCCTTTTTACTATGGAGATTTCAACACTGTTACTCTAGGAAAAAAAACAGCAGTCCATTCGAGAGCCCACAATTAGTAATCGAATTATTTGGATTGTTCGTAACACTCTAATCTTTTACAAATTTTATCCCGCGTAACTCAAAATCGCAACTAGCAATTCTATCTACATCCAAGATTTTTAAGTAATATTACTAATCAATTCCCTCAATTAGTTCTGCCGACATTCAGTAACGCAAATATAATTTTCACTCAAGTGGCACTAACCGAAATGTTAAGTCGCTCAACTACAAGAAAAATCGGTGAAAATTTTTCCCAGAGTAGAGTTACGAACAATCCAAATAATTCCATTACTAATTGTGGGCCCCAAAATGGGTTGCTGTCTTTTTTCCCCCCAGAGTATTGTCCGCTAAATATATTGAGCATTATTGTGTTCATTTTCATTCCGAGATGTAATTCGCGCATCTCCCTCGGTCGTCTTCGATCCCTTGCGCAGTTATGGCGGAGCGACCTTCCGGAGCGAGAGGCAACCGTGCTTCCCGTGAAATCTCAAAGAAACGAAATAAATTTCACACAATAGACCGCCGAAACCGTGGTTCCCACCCTCTTCGTGTTCTCTCGCCGCTCGAAGGAATTATACCACGTTACCGTGCTTTTCAAGTAGAGTCTATTGATTCTTTCGCGACTTGAAAGAATCGCTTCGGGTGACTTCGAATGGGCGTTTGACGTCTCTCCGGTGAAAACGATTTAAAAGATTTTCCGCGTCAATATAAAACGTCTCGAGAAACACTCGAAATGTTCTCAAACATCTCATCGCCTCTATCATGCAATTACGTAGGAAGTTGGTATAACAAAAGAACGTACTTTTCACGTTCAACAATCTTGGCGATTCTTATTCGATTAATACATCGATGTTAAATCAAGACTCAATGATTTACTATGTTTACTTGTAGCTTCGCAGTATCGAATCGCGAATTATATCGCCGTCGTAAGACTATCTAAATAATTAGATATTCAATATCGTTTTATCGGCTTGTCTTAAAGCAGACCCAATTGCCTAGAATAGCATCAAAAGTGAACTCGTGTATTTCGTTCTAAATGGATCGCCTTATATCCGACACAGGTGACGATTTACTGCGGAGTTAAATCTCCGGAAGGTCGTCTTCGTTCTACTCATCACCCCTCGTCGCTTTTATCTCTAACCTCGTATATCCGGTTCGCCTCTTCGTGCTCGGTCACGTACGTACGGCTGAACGGAAGCGTGTAATTAATCTATTTTAAATAACACGGAATAAATGACTATCTTCTCAGATTGTCAGTCCTGTATACATATACAGAGTGTACCAAAACCACCGGATATCCTTCTAATCGCAGATTCTTTAGAAAATTTCAAGTCGAAAATTCTAATACAAAAATGTCGAGGCTATAGCAGCTTTTAAATAAGAAGCCAATATATTTCACAAATGACAGGCCTGAGATTTCGCGCGCCCAGGCACGGCGACGCGACGTGTGATAAAAGTGTTCCTATGAATGTCGCCCTATTTATTTAATTCAAGTAAAAATTTGCAACATGTAACTTCAAAATGTTGCAGCTGTCAAAGTGGTTGATCAATATCAATTACCACGAAGGTTGTTACTATGCTAAAAAGGGCGACATTCGTAGGAACACTTTTATCACTTGTCATGTCGCCGTACCTGAGCGCGCGAAATCTCAGGCCCGTCATTTGTGAAATATAATCGCTTATTATTTAAAAAACTATTGTAGCCTCGACATTTTTGTATTAGAATTTTCGTCTTGAAATTTTCTGAAGAATTTATGATCGAAAGGATATCCGGTGGTTTTAATACAAGAGACTCGCTTCTAGCCGAGCAGTTTTGGTGTTTCTCGGCGATTTTCCACGGGGCTTTTCAAAATGCTTCATTACGAACGGCAATCAAGTTGATTAATCACAATATCAATTTAAACGAAGAAACGTCCCGGCTTTACACAAAACGGTTGTTTTGCAAAAGTAATAAGTGGCACGCGGTTCGATATTTCATTAGTACGTTTTAGATCCGCATATTAATATCGGACTGACAACCTGCGCGACAGCGGAAAAATGCCCTATTTATTTATTGTATGCTGCGAACAAATATTGGCCGTTATTTGCGTACATTTTCAACGTCTAGATTTCGCCGCGGGCAGGAAAATCGGACGTACCGGGCACAATACGAGCTCCGCACGTTGAACATTACGAAGTAATGTATTAATAAGGACGTTGGCTGCGCTATACGCACACGTCAGACGGAGGGAATCCTGCTGCGGATATAAAAATGCGTTCGAGCAATGTGTACATCTGTACAACCTTTCTTTAAAAGTTGAAGAGACATTTGTTATACGTCAGCTGTAACAGTTGCTTACACACCCGTGTTTAAAAATAAAAAACTGTCGGTAATGACATCGAGTGTCTACGCGTTATAGTCATCCTAGCGTATCGCAAGAAGCATCTTTAAGAGAGGTACTGAATAAACGAACAACTTATCTCGACGTTCTTTCAAAGTGTCTCTCTCTGTCTCTCTTTCTCGAAATACCGCGTGAATGTCTTTATTGTACGAGAGAACGGTCGCGGAGAAAAAGAATAGATACACACCCCACGATGCTTGCTCATGCTTGAATAAGATTAACTGTAAAGGGGCTCCCGTCATCGCACCCGAATGAAATCGTACGTAACGATGGACGGTGTACTAACCACTAATATCGGTATTGCTCCCCCATCGTCGTTCGTTTCGTGATTCTGACGTTAACGTTACTAGTAATGCCACGGCACAAGTCCCGTGTAACTAATTACAAGATACAGGTTACGTAAGACAGATAGGTGGTAGAGAGATACGGAGATAGAGCGGAAAAAAAGGGGGAACAAGTGTCTACGGACAGTCGTTAATTACAGTGTCGCAGCCATAGCTTAATGTATCTGCAGGTACCCTCTCTTTCATGTATCGATACTTGAAAAGAGCAACACATTGAACAATGCAATCTCTGATCTCTTTCTCTTTTCTGATCTTTACTCATTCGAAATCACCCCCCCAATTGTGCTATCGCCGCGCCACTGCGTGCACGTGCGATGGTGCTCCGGGGGTAAGTATGTGTCGTATATTACATATATATATAAAGTGTGTCAGTGTGTACGTGTACGTGTACGTGTACGTGTGTGTGGGCTCACAAAAAGAGCTTGTACCTGAAGAGAGAAAGTCTCTTTTGTCTTCAGTCGATTCAAGTTAATATCGACCAATTGAACGAATGCAATGCGCAAAAATGCCGCGCCTGAAAGCGAGGCGCCGGATGCTCTATTATTGCATCACACAATTGCGTCACAAGGCTCATTATTTTTCTGTGACGCAAGAGCCATCTTAATGAGAGCAAAACATTTAGGATGCACGAGCTAGTAATAGACAAAATAGTCGTGGGCACGTTCTGCAATAATATTTCTTTCTCCGAGCGTGAAATAAATATCTGAAGCTTGTCTCCTATCCAATTAAGTAATTAAACAGTTATGCAACTTTCTTCAGGTTCTCCACGTTACAAACGAGTTATGCACTCGTATGCTGAAATAATGCAGTTAACCGTCACAATATCCATCAGTGCGAATAACAAAGCTAATTAAAATGATATTAAAATGACGCAAAACAGAGAAACAGAAGCTAGCAAATAATTGATCAAATAATGAGAAGAGAACGATATTTCAACGCACAAATATTTGAGGACATAATAATTCAAACAAATCGTTTCCCCGAGTTAAATCGAATGTGAATGTTTATGAAATAAATGTAACGATTAAAATTCACCGGAAATCGGTCATCGTCTGTTCTCGCTGAGCGATCGCTTTTGTCATTTTCATCTGCTTCTTCTGTTAATGCTAATAAATTTTCCACTACGTGCGTCACTCATAAAACACAGTGCACGGTTTAAAGGCACGTAACGTTCGGTGACTGCTTCATCGACCCTTCTTTAGACATTCAGCGAAAACGTCGCGTGGAAAAGTATTTTTCCGTCTCATTTGCAACAACATCGCCGCGCAGAGACGGTAGCGTGACCGTATATTTTCATTTCCCGGTCAAATGGACTAACAATAGCGCGCCGGACGAGGGCAATCAAAGAGAATACGTGAAAGCAGAAACATCGAACATCCTACCTCTTTTCGCTAAACTCACACATGACAGATTCACACGCAGTGATCTGGTGGTGAAGGGGGGAGGGGGATCATTCGGGATCGTGGTGATGCTGTGCTTGTTTCGCGGCGTTGTGTCTCTCGGCCCGAGATGGGCCGCGTCCGGCAACATCACCCGAGCGTCCCCGTGTACCATTTTATCCTTATTTAATAGTCGGTGAGCAACAAGGACAAAATGATCCCCACCGAAGCACTCGGGTGACGTTTCCGAACGTAGCCCATGGTGTGCGGGGCGAGTGGATCGACGCGCGGAAAAGCATTCGGGGAACCGCGGACGCGTTATCGCGGAAACCCGTCGTCGGCGACTATTCGCGGTAAAAAGGGCGTTTAGCGGGTTTCCAGTAACACGGCCGCGCGCGCGTCGCCGCAACGTCGTAATTAAAGTCAGCTAAACAGGTACGAAATCGTATCAAAGTCCACCGTTAACGACTGGAACAACTTGTAGTCGCGTGACTGCCGCCCACTCGGGGACACCTCCGCTTCCCCTCGCTCGGCGCACGCACGTGGGGGTACATAAAGCTCAAAAGCGACTGCACTTAAGTTAATGAAACGAGCCGAGGGGAGCATTGGCTTGCGGAAGACAAAAGATATCCGGCGGACGCGATATGCACAGATAAAACTGAATGGCGTAAACGCCACGTCTCTTTCGTAAACGGCGACGTCCTATTTCGCGCCCGAGAGAACCTCGCGAGCCTCCTCGCGCGTAATTATTATACAAGCGCTCGTCGTTACCCGGTCAACTCGCGCGCATTGAAAAAAAAAGAACACTGTACGCGTGAAGATAAGCCGAGGAATTCGGGACGAGGCGAGAGGCTTCTAGTGCAGTGACTGACGAGCAAGAAGGGGTTCGTTAACGCTAATTGCGTACAAATAAAACGAATATTCTTCGTCGCGGATCGTGGACACGCGTGTTCATCGCCATCAAGATTTCAGATAATTATTTAACAGCCTGTCGTCTCTCGACGACAGGGGAAAAAAAGTGGCAACGGTGACGCGGCACGTCGGATTTTTACACGTGGGATGCATATTGGCGTCCTTGTAACGTCGGCAGTAAATGAAATGGATCTGAAGATAATCTGAAAATAATCTGTCGGGATAATAAATCTTGGTATTGATGAAATTCTCCTCGAGCGAGCACTTATCTCGGTCATCTCGAGGAATTAGTTCCCCGCCGCTAATTATAATTAACTGCTTTAATCGAGGGATCGTTAAAGGGGATCGTTAAATTTTACGGCGGGAGACGGACGCCGCGGGTCCACAATCGGCGAGGGTGTTACATCACATGGTACTCGGATGCAGGTCGGTCGGTGGAGTCGAAACGATAAAGCGAAAAATAGAGATCTCGCGATCAAGGACGATCCCGCGACCGGGATCCCTTGACGAGGGTACCTGAGCCACACATGGGCCGGGCTGCTCGCAACTGCATTGCTGTTTTGCTCGTTAGCAGGGCTTTCCATCCAGTTCGTTGTACGCGCTTTCCTGATTGGTCAGACACTGATCAGACGGAGGGTTGTGGGATGTGCATGATTCGAGTGGCGATCATGTCCATCGTTTTGCGCTCTTCAGCGCGTGACATCTCGCGCGACTGCGATTTCCAAAAGTGAATTTCGTCCGTCATCTTCGCCGCTTACAAGAGGAAAGCGAGGTGAGCGTCTATACCTTGCGATTTCTCTCGCTAGAAGCCACGTTCGGCTGTTATTATGCTAAGTACTCGAGTACTTTCCCAGTGCTTCCTCCATTTGTTAGTATATCTAGACCGAGCATTGAACAGTGGGGGTAGAGGTTGTCTCTCGTTCGCATGCGAACAAGTACGAAATAGCACAAAACAGAGTTTGTTCTTTTCTACGTGAACCTGTACCCCCACTGCTCATATAAAGGCAAACGCTCGGTCTAGATATATTATGTCTGTGGCTTTCTCTCACCTGTACATTACCTAGGATCAATTTGCACTTGTTGCGGAAATCTGACCGAGCATCTGCTTTACATTTTGATATTCAGTGGCGGATATCATTGTGATTAATTGTTAAATTAAATTTCTGAAGTCTCCACTTTTACAATTAAGTGAAAAGTAATCTTTGCTAATAGAATATCGACTGCAAATCGACCAAAGAATTCGTAGATAAAAG